ACACCAATGAAAAACTGTCTGTGCAATAAACCAACTACTCTATAAATACCATGAACTGGTATCTTGACTCATTGTGATGCCAAAGACTCATTTGACTACATTTTCTACATTTCAAAATTTTAGATTTTACTTTTCAAACAAAAGCTGTGATTCAGAGCAATTGAAGAGGAAAAGAAAGCGATTTCTCCCACACTCATCTCTTCTCTTGCTTTTAGAGGTTGCACTCACGCTCGCTGAGCAGCAAGTGATTGCCTGCCCTGCCCAACTTCCTCCTCTCCTCTATTGGTGTTTCCCTGGAGTTAAAAATTGTCTTCTCTCATTCCTTTCCTAAGCGCTATCAGCTGTTTCAAACATATGGAGACATCTACACTATGTGTCAAGCACTATGGTAGAGCTTCTACAGGGATTATTTCATTCTAAACAATATTTTTTCCCCAAACCCTCTGAGTCTGAAGGTTTTGCTTCCTCATCAGTCTTCTTGAATCTTACCCTCCACAGAAAGTAGCAGAAACAACAAAACAAGTATAGAGTTGAAAGAGAGTATTAGTGCTGACGAAGGTAACATTAAGATACAGCATCAGAACGTGGTGGGCCTAAAATTACCAAAGTAAAAGAAAGAAAATTAGAATTCACGTGGAATGTACTGGTGTGAACCAGGCTGGAGTGTTTTTGTTGCAGTCATCATTTTGGATTTTTAACAAATTAGATTGATTCCCTTCAACTTCCTTTCACTACCTCCACTGCTACCTACCACTCTGCTCCAAGCCACCATCATCACTCATTGATTGATTATTTTAATAGCCTCACAAAGGTCTCCATTCTTCCACCCTTGAACACTCTAGTTTATTTTCAGCACAGCTGCTAGAGCGTCCTCATGTCCTTCCTTGACTTAACATCCACCATGGCTTTCCATTTCACTCAGCAAAAGCTATAGTGTACTCAGTGGCCCTGTAACCTGGCCTTCCACTCCATCCAGACACACAGGACCCTTGGGTGGGAGTCTTCAGACACACCAAACAGGCCCCTGGTTTGGGGCCTTTGGCTCCTGTTTCCTCTGCCTGGATTGCCTTTCCTCCATATCCACCTCACCTCTTATAAGTCTTTGCCCAAATGTCACCCTCCCATCAAGGCCTACCCTGATCACCCTATAAAATATTGCTATTTGCTCCCTTGAGCCACTCTCAATACTCACTCAGAATTCTCAATCCTCCTTTACACTGCTCTATTTTTTTCTTTAACCCATAGCTCTTACCACCTTTCAACATACATGAAAGTTACTTATTATGTTTATCGCCTATCTCCACAACACCGTGCAATATAAACCCTGAGAGCAAGAATTTTTAACTATGTTGTTTCCCAAGTGCCTAGAAATATGTCTGGCACCAAAAAGGCACTCCATAAGTATTTATTGAATTAATGAAAGAATGAATGAATGATCTTACTATATTTCTTTCGGGGGTTGTATCTGATGAATGACTTTACAGACGAAAGACATCTGCATGCAAAGCTTTAAGCACTCTTTTCTTATTTGCCCCTAGGAATTTTTGATGTGTTTTGTCTGATGGCAGAGCACAATCTAGGAGGCATGAAACATAAATACCAAGCGAATCAGTGTTCAAAGCCAAACCCTGATCAAACTCAATACCAGGAGGAGAAAACTCTTTTCATTGCAGCTGAGGAAATCGTATGGGATTATTCTCCTAGCAGAGTGGGAGAAAGAACTGCACCGGTTACAAAGAAAGAAGTACGTCAATAGCTCGCGTCTCTAAATGGAAAGTGTTCATTCTTAGTCTTCCTCCCTTTCCTCTCAGTCTCGTGGGGCGTGAAGGGAATAGGATACATCCAATGATAAATTACCTCAAAGCTTGTGTGTTCAATGTGTGTGTGTGTGTGTGTGTGTGTGTGAGATGGGTATGTGGGTGTGGTATGTGTGTGTTTAGGATACTTTCAATTATAAATCGCTTCAAAATTTGTGTGTGTACATAATCAATTGCAAAGGGCTTTAAATCTTTCTAAATAGCTACATAACTCAGGTCTAGGCTTTATTTCCTCCTCTTCTTCTTCTTTCCTGTATTCTTCCTTCCTGTGTGTGTGTTATCATCTGATTTCACCACAGGAATAGTAACATAACTTCAGCTACATTCAACATTTGAAATTGGTCAGATTGTTTTCTTCTTCATTTGTTTCTATCTCTATTTTTCTGGGAACTTCAAATTGAAGACATTGATTTTTCTCTTTTTGTAAAATTTTATTTATTTCTCTGGTTTTCTTTCTT